CAAATCCCCCCCCCTCCCCACCTCTGCACACAATTTATTGGGCTCCCCCCTCAAACCCATCTCCCTACCACGCATGCGTGTGTACACGCGCGCACACACACACACGCACAAAGTGGGACATGAAGAAAAGCAGGACAGGTTATGGAACAGCATGGAAGGACACCTCTCTCTCTCGCTGCCGTATTGGTCACCTCTCTGTTTATGGGAAGGTGGGAGATGAATGGGTGAGGATGGATAGGAATGAAATGTAGTTTCGTTGGATGCTGTGCGTTGAAAATTTGTCCTCCCCTCGTGCTTTCTTCTCTCCTGTGCAAAAATTCCTGCCTGTCCAGTTTTATTCAAGTTCCTTGAATGAGCTTTACTCATTTTCCTCGGATACTTTCCAGTCTAGTGGAGCCAGGTTTCACAAGCTACTGGGGAAGAAGTGAATGATTGTTTTATTTGAGGTGACTGGAATAAACCCTTCACTTTCCTGATGTTTGGCAGACACAATGCTGCGCTCTGAGGAGAGCTGAAACACAAGAAACTGTACTGTTCTCCCCTTGCGTTCTGCTAGTGCGTTACGGTTCCCATTAAAGTCAGTAGGAAGGCTCCCCGTAAGTTCCCCAAGTTGAATTGGGCTCATATTTGAGACCATTTTGTGTGTTTGCCTTAATATTTTAAATGCACTTTCGTCCTGCATCGAGAATCTAGCAAGCGGCGTATTTTGGAGATAGTGGAGAGCCCCCACAGGGAAAGCTTTCAGCTTGCTGCCGGTGCAAGCAGCTTTGTAGCTAGCTAGCTGTGAAAAGCGGTAGTACACACAGGGAAAAGGCATCTTCGCCCATGGTTTTAAGAGATTTACTTCGTCATCCCTTGAAGGAGAGCACCTCAAGCGGCACCATCAAGGGCAAGCTCATGCTAGAAGCTGTTAAAGCATATTCGAGGTTTAATTAAAAACCTTTGTTGTAATTAGATGTAGGACCCCTGACTGCTATCAAAAGGGCAGCTTAGTGGAGAGCAGAAGGAAATGTACAGAGGATGATTACATTGGCTGTTGTAGCAGGGAATAATCTCTCGGTTTTCCTTGAGCGTTGCCGGTGCTTGGAATACATGTTCTTGCAGTCATTCATTCACAGTTTTGAGGGCGCTTTTTTTTTTTATAGCTTGCAAGCAATCCTTTGCTCTCATACTGCTTTTAAAGTTGCGTAAGTGCTTCACAATATTGATGGTTCAAGTATATAAAATAGTGAGTCAAATTAATTTCCAGAAGACGGAAGGTTATAAAATATCTCATCTTAATTTACTTTTCCTCTTTTTGAGTCTTTAGGGTCTATGTAAATCACCTGTTCAATTTTTCTCCTGTAATTGCAGGAGCTAGAAATGTATTCTTGTATATCCCTTGTCTCCCTCTTCCCTTGATGAAATTCTAAAATTCCCACTGCTAGCAACTTCAGGAGCTGAAAAACTAACCAACTTACCAGTATGGAAAGCTTCCTGATAAAATCTTGAGATCCAGCAATGCTGCTTTACAGTTTCACCAGCTGTCTGGGCATAAGATTATTTTCTGTGATCAAAGCTTAACTTGGCTAATGCACAAGTCTTGAAGTCAGCTGTATTTTAAACTCATGTGCTAAACTAAAAAAAAAAACAAACCCGAACTTACAGGGTTTGGGATGTTCCTTTGGTGTCTTTAAACAAAATTTTTTTAGACCTCATTTGAAGTGGATTATGTCTGATTTGTAATGGTTCATTGACAGATTTATCAAGAGTTAAGTTATGTATGAATATTTATTTCTATCACAGCATCTGCCTAGAATTAAATAAGTTTTACATACAACTGCCTGGTGTGTCTGTACCCATACAGGTAGTTGTCATCTTCCTGCAGAATTAATAACAATAAATTTGAATTTTTGCAATAGGCTGCAGCCATTATAGTTCTTTAAATCAAAGATACACAAATATGATGTGGAAGTCATAAATGGTTCCATAGAATCTGAGCTGCAGGTAAACACTGTGCATTTTTGGCTTCAATACATGTATACACCATTCATAGAAAACAATAGCTCCTTTGCAGCGTCTCAGTTTATTGTGAAATAGCATATATAGAAATACATTTGAATGGTTTCATACTGATTAATTGTATTCATTCTGGTGAATAGGGGTATATGGCTTTGGTACTTAACAACCGGTATATTTGTTTATGCAACATTCAGTTTTCTTTAAGAATAGTATACACTTTAAGAACTGTCCATGAATGTTTGAAAGACAAAACATTCTCAAGAAAACAAGCGCAACAAGGTCTCTCTATGTGTTTAAAGCCTAAAGGTAAGCTTAACTTACAGCATAGTGCAGTAAAACAACTTAAGTCTAGTTTTATGCTTATAATTCTGTTCAAGTTTGTTCTTAAAATAAAAGAAGTGTCAGAGGCTGCTCATTTGGTAGCACTTGAAGGGATTTAACCTTAATTATACATTAGATGCAGATATCTGAATTGACATGGCTCAGTAGTCTTGGATGGTGTCTGCTTGTTTTGAATCTAAGGAGTTGTTCCAAGGGGAAACTGCTAGCTCGAAAGCAGCTTCCTCATTAGAAGATCTGGATCATTGCTCAGAGTTGATGTTGACACATATTTGTAAAAAGCTCAGCAAGGCTGATAGTTTGCTATAAAATAACATAAGAAGCACAAATGTGGTTTTACTAGGTCTGAAGAAAGTAGCTCATACAATGTAAGGAAGAATTAATAAAACATTCCTTCTGGTTTGGAAAACTGTAGTCTGTCATTTTGCATATTACTCTCTTTAATAATCATCCCCAACACTTTATCTGAGAGTAGGTATAAAATCAAAAGCCATAGTACTTCAAACTCAGCATCTAAGACCCTGAGCAAGCTCATCTAACTTTGAAGTTGAATCTGACTTGGAGATTGGCCCTGCTTCCCATGGGGAGCTGGGCTAGATGACCTCCAGAGGTCCTTCGCAACCTAAATTACTCTGTGATTCTATAATGACTGATAATCTGTTTATGCCTGATGTCTACCTGGCTCCTTCCGTGTGTTCAGAATGCCTTGACTTTGTTAGCTATCCCTCAAGTAGCCCCAGATAGAATATTCTAAGTTATGCTCCTTCTTTTACAAGTGGACCGGCTATTTTAGCCTCAGACTTCCCAAGGCCATGCTCTGTGGGAGCAGCAGGTCTAAGACTCCTGTTCAGTAGTCTGGACCTTCTAGTGTGATGGAGGCTACCATTTCAGCCAGCCTTTTCCAACCAGCTAAGAGACGTGGTTACAGCACGTCTGTAATACATGAAGTTTGTGTGAGTTTATCTGATCAGATCAAGAACACTATACACCTTATCACTGATATTACTCTTTAAAAAAAAAAAAAAAAGGAACATTTCTAGCTTTAGTGGGTTATTATTACTGCTGTTGTTCATTGCAATTTTAAAATAAGGAATGTATCCCATTGCTTTAAGTCTTGTTTATTAAATAAAGAGGGCTTGCACCAAGAAGTTAAAAGATGTTCCTTGTGTTAGGGATAATAGAAGTGGTTTAAATATTTGATGAGATTTTATATTTAGGATCACGTAGAGTAACCTTGCCTCTGTTACTGATTTGTGGCCAAAGATGACCACGTGAGATTCAAGGTAACAAGCAGGAGATGGGGTAAAGTCAATACAGCTGTATTGCTTTATGTGTTTTTACTTCGTCCAGTTCTGCGATGCAAAGACCATCGTTTTGATGGGAAGTACTCCTTTGAACTGTTTTAAATGCTCATTGTTTTTCTCAAGGAACAATGGAATGAGTTTTGGAAATTGCAAAAGATTGCCAGTTTGCTTGAAGAACATCGGTAACTGTGGGAAATAATTACGTTCCTGTTCCAGTGTGAAGCGTACTTCTTCCTTTTTTCAGATTGCTAAAATGTAGTAGTATATGTAGAAGAGGTCAGAAAAGGTGAGCTTTTCTTGAAAAGCTTGTATAGCACATCTCCCACACCTCTCCTAATGACATAATTCTAAGATTTCCAGCTTTTTGTGAGGTTCTTGGAGTGGTAGGTGTATGTGTTTTGGTTTTGTTTTTTTTTTTTTATTGAATGAATGAATATCCAATAATTAAAATAGCATAGTAGTGAGCTAATCTCAGAAGAATGCCATGTATCCAATGGAAGAAATGCCTGAGTGCATGCTGTACTATTCTGTGAATGAATTATAGATTACATGATTTTCTGTAATGCTGTGCTTGTCTTGAAGTCCTCTGTTGGCAAAAGTGATGTGCAATGCATGTTGCCTTTAAATAATAAAATAAAGATCTATATAATGGCACCACTTAACTCTTTATTTGAAGATACAATGCATTTAAAGGATTTTACTCCATGATTTTAGAAATAAAGGCAGGTCACAGCTCAGAGAGCAGCTGTACAAACCCCCCACAAAGTGTTTATATTGTGTATAAGTAAGGAATGTAAGCTTCAATCTTCAGGAGAGATGCGCGTCAGTGGGCAGATGAGCAAGCACCTGCTGTGTTTCGAGTTGCTTGTACATCTGAACCCCCCCCCAGGCATTAGACCGACTTGTCTTGCCAAATCTGTCTCCTTTGTACGACAACAGAGTTGCTTACCATATTTTTATTACTTTTGTTGTTCAGTCTGATCTCCTGGAGAGAGGGGAGATAAAGCTTGCCGTGGTGTTGAAGCACCCAGAAAGTTTTTGAGTCCAGCAGTCTTGGGGCCACACGTAGTCTGATGAACACGGCGGCTGAAACGGAGACATCGGACAGATTAATGCAGTCTGATTTTACACAAAGGTGCTGTAAAGACCATCCTGAGGAGCTGAGACCGTTTCTGCTTTGTGTATTGCTCGCTTCTCTGGGAACCAAACTGTCCCCTGCATGCTCGGTGGCACGTTGGGGTGGCAGGCAGGGGAGCTCAGCTTGCCGCTGAGAGGTGAGCGGAGCCTCCACAACGGCTGCCTCCTCATTCCCCCCACCTAGCAGGCCCGTCCTTCCCAGGCTGAGGAGGGCAGGCGATGGAGTTCCCGCTGCCGGGAGTGGGCCGTTACCTTGCCTGGAACGCAGCCGGCCTCTTCCCCTCTGTTCATGGTTTTCTCGCTGTGGAGAAAAGGAAGACTGTAGGGAGGAGCGCACGCGAGAGCGACCCAACTCTGTCGGTGACCGCTGAGGAGGTTTTCCCTCAGGTGAGAGCGCCCTGCGTCTGGGCGGCCTTGCGGTAACGCTCAGCGTTTTTCTGCGTGGGTGGAAGGGTGCATAAACAGCACTGGGAGGTTGGAAGGGACCGGTTCAGTAAGAGACACTCACAGCAAGACTCGGATTTGGATTCCCTCGTACCTGTTTGTTCACAGACCCCGTGGATCTCACACTTACCTTTTTCCAGCTTGGGTCTAGTAGGTGGAAGAGGAGAGCAGCTTCAGTCTACCCTAATGGGTAAGAAATTCTTCTGGGAAAGGGGGGCAGAGGTTCAAGTCTGGAGCCGGAGCTGGGAAGCAAAGACCTTGCGGTTTCTGAGGAGGCCTCTAGCCCCTGGCCGATTGCAGCTGAGGAGGCACCTGCCCTCCCTCCTTCGTTAGCCGTTAGCGTTCTGCGGCTCGGCAAGACGTGGGCGTACCTGGGTTTGCCCCACCGGTTTTTTGGACACGTCTCTGTGCTTGTTCTCTTTTTCTGTGCCTGGCTCTAAACGACTCTCCGCTCGGTATCAGGAGTGCTAAATCACCCTACAAGTGTCTTGTGCAGGACATGGAAGGTGACTGATTCCTTATGTGAAGCCTCTGAATTATCCCTTGGAGGCACTTCGGGATTTTGGCACCCAGCGTAAAATGCTCAAATTTCTGTTTGGGTGTTGTCAAAATCCTGGGGAATTAGAGCTATGAGAAAGCCTTGCTGTTAAGCCCACCTGTGTTGTGCAAGACTTGGGTTAGCGAGGGCTTTGCCCCATGTGCTGCTGTGTGTGGATGAAGACCAATTTCTCAGGGAATGGCTCAGTACCTAAATCGCTTGTTGAAGAAGCAGCGCAAAATAGTTTTGTTTCTTCCAAACAGCTTCTTTCTGACACATCTGTGACCTCGTGAAGTTATTTCATGTGTTCAAATTCATGGCTTTCAGAAGAAAGCCTTGGTGTAGGGTGGTAGAGTTCTGACGTAAGGAAACTATGCATTCAGCCGCGGCTGGCGGGTTCCCACAGCTCGGGTAACACTTTTTAAGTGTCTAAGTGACTTGCGGATCCACACACCCAAGTCATTTTCATACTTTAGAAGAACCTTATTCTCAATCCATAAAATAAAAAGACAATGTAAAAGCCAGAGTATGTCTGTGCAGCAGCTAGCAGTAATAAGCATACTATGCAAACTGACAAGGAGCAGAAAATATTTATTTATTGTGATTTTTGTACAAGGCTCCACTGGGGAAAGCTGTGGCTCAAGCAACTTACTCGAGGTTTGGTATGGATCCTGCTGGAAAGCGCTTCTCTCTGCAGTGTGCAGAAGCGTACGCTACGGAGTCTGAAAAGGTGGCACTTGTGGTGCGGAGGAGCATGGAGCGAGTGACTGACGGACCCCTGGGCTTCCCAGCTTTAGCCAATATCCCCTTCATCGAGAGCAGAATTCATCTGAGCAACTCCTTAAAACCCATCAGTTTTGGCCCAGGTGAGGTTCCAACGGACTGACTTCTCCGTGGAATCATTTTATGTGAGAACTTAATGACCGCTGCAGTACTTACTTTTATCTCAGTATTTCCACTGATTTCAATGGAGCTTGGCCTTCCACAGAAGTCTGTGGATCTGATGGTGCTGAAGAAGGAGGAAATCTCACTGATCATGCGACGAATGTACTTTCAGAAACTAGGTTCTACCTTTGTGTTTCTATGTAATTACACTTTTTAAACTTGTGTTGGCTATTTGATGGCTAAGTTGATGAGTGTTTATAAACTTAGAAATAGTTTTGAATATGAAGCAATTAGGAATATCTCTAGCTATCATATTTATCTTAGTCAATTGTTATGACATTCAGTGGGTTATATTTATTTTCTTATGCGTGGGTGCCTCAACTTTCTATGCTTTACTTGACACGTTCTTTCAAATTTATTGTTCTTGAATGCAAATGCCATATTACAATTTCTAAGAATATTTATTGGCTGAAGGCAGGTATGTGATAAGTGGAAGCTTTGCAATGAATCGGAAAAACTTACCTAAGAGTGTCATTGTGTTTTGTTTCTCACCAAGGTTTTGTTTAGTGCTACAAGAAGGTCAGTCATTACCTTCATCATCTTACAGCTGCATGCATTTTCTTACTTCAGCATCTATGAGGAGAGGACTCTGTGGAGAACCATTGTATGAAAGAAAGGAATGCTTGATTGTTTCTTAAGAGGTGAATTCAGTTCACTTGCATTATCTGACAGAGCCCTGTACACAAATGTTTCACATATTCCACAGTATGTTTTTGTGTCCACTCTTTTACTGTAGAATACCATGTAGATAAAATATTTTAATTTGGGGGGAACTTGCTGAAAGCATGAAATCTATGATGATGCTAGCCTTTTGCATTGCTCTTTCTTGTGTTAAAAAATGACCTACTTATTAAAATAAACATTTCAGAACTTTGAGATGTTTTCTCCTTGTTTTATGGCTTTTCCTGATTTTATCCTAGTACTGCAGTATTATCTGCTCTATTTCTTGGGCAAAATAAAGCTGCTCTTAATTAAAAATGAATATAGAGCTTAAAGCCTTAGGTCATTTCATTTGGGGGCAAGAAGGGAGGACAGTCACACATTTCAGTGTGCAGTTAATGCTGTGCTTCCATATCATTAAGAAGGGCAGAATTTCCAAAGGGCAATGAGACCAAGCTGTCCTTATGAAGAGGCACTGATTTATGTACGAGGAATTAACTGAAAAGAAACATTATCATCATGGTTTGGGGGTTTGTTTTTGTTTTCTTTTTTTTCCCTGAAGATGGTAATTTTAATGAGTTTTATGTCTTCTGTGTTTTGAAAATGTGTTAAGTACCTAGGTTCATATTTATATATATTTCCAAATATTGAAATCCACATCCCTAAACTAATAGGCAGATAATTATAATAAAAATTATGCAAACGCTATCAACACTGTCAGAACTGCAGTATACATTTCCCATGGTTATAGACATTGTGATGCTTCTTGTGCAGTACAAAAACATGTTTGGATTTTCAAACCTTAAACGTCTCACTTAATGTATACTTTTTTTCCTAAGAAATCTGTCTTGAGTTACTTAACGATTGTCAAAAATATGTTCATTCTAGTTGCTTGGAAGGGATAGGTGATATTATCAATATAATTCTTAATATATTGCTAAAATGATAAAACACTGGAAAAAAAAATCTAAAGTCATGCTTTCTGCTGACTCTGCAGTTATAAACCAACAAAGCAACTTAATTTGGGCATGACTGTGAGATGACAGTACTTTTTGAAGTCTGAAACTTTATTAAGATTTGTGGGAGTGTGATTTTACTAGTTCCTAACATTTTTCTTAGGTAGTGGATGGGTAGTGTAAATAAACTGTAGTGATGTACAGTGAAAACTGCTGATGTGCATTCTTAAAGTGTAACCAAATTGTGTTTTGAATCCAAGAAACTAATAATTACTGTCTATAAGGTTCTGTTTTGCTCATGTTTATGCATGTTGCGCTCTCTGTGAGAACAAGCAGTCTCACTGAACTGCTGAGCCTCCTGAACGGAGTGTAGTAACTTGCAAGATTGGTGTATGCCTAGAAATGGTGCAAGCATATTTTGGATGCTCTAAAGTAGGCTTATGATGTTTATGCTCTGTGTACCAGTAACACTATGTACAGAGCAATCTGCTGTTCCCGTTTTGATGCTATGTGGTATAAATCACTCCTGGGTAGTCGAAGGAACACTACAGATTTTTATTGTAGAAAACTGTGTTTGCTGTATGTGGTTACCTCGCTGTAGCTGTCTAACGTACAGAGTGTTCTTCCTTCAGAGGCAGTGATTCAGTTTTCTTTGGGTGTCTCTTTTCTTTTATATAAAGTCCAGTGACCTGGATTTTTTCATAAAAAATAATTGCTGTGAAGTGGAAGGCCCATGCAGAAGATTTTACTCCCTTAATCCAGCATAAGCTTTATTTTGTCACCAGATCAAATGGCTTTCAGAATTGAAAGTTAAGGTTTTTCTAAGATGACAAGGAGATTTAAACGTAGTTTCCATGGTAGGCAATGTAGGAAAATTCAGTCCAGTATTCTTTGTGCACTCATGTCTGACCTTCATGATGTTCTTCAACCAGAATCCCTCTCGGCTGCAGCTCAAGGCAACGGCTGGTAGCATTGGGTGTATGGAGCTAAAATAAAGAGACAATTCCAGACGTTGTGGCCCAGAGCACAACGTTCAATACCTGATCCTCAGCTAGTAGTGAGCAACATTAAGATCCTTGGGTTTTGTCCTACTGTCAACATCACTGAGTAGGTTCCTTTACTCATGAAATTAATTTTGTTTAACTAAGTCAGTTCTTTTTTAGTTGGGAGTGTAGGTGTCTTCCAACACTCATTTGTCCTTTTACCTCCCACATCAGTACTATAGTAAGGTAGTTTGTTTATTTTTAAACCTTTCCAAAATCCATAAATATATCTGTCCTGGCAGTTAAACTATATTCTAACCCCACGCTTATCTTATATTTACTTTAGTTATTTTCACTCATTTGGTGGTCTTGCCAGCGTGGTTTTGGAAAGCAATAGGATACTCAACTTTTTTTTCCATTTAGTTGCTACTCCCGTGTTGCACACCTTTCGTTTGCATTAGACTTTGGCATCTGATCAACGTGAAGATAACATTTAATATTTTATAATTTGTAGCGGCTTTCAAAAATCTTAGTTTCTGAGTTTTCCCATCTGGCACTTTGATTTATTTCATCAATTTTGTATGACTTTTAACTTTGGGGCGATACAGATTTATGTGCCTAGTCTTTGTATCTGTGTAATTTTCTAGTGCAAGGATTCCTTTCATGTTGTTCCAAAGTGGTCCATTCCGTTTATTTATTTCTGTATTTTATATCTGTAATGCACTCTGATATTGGAAGAATACTTTCTAAATCATCAGTACACTAACCACTTCGTTTTTCTGAAGGATCATGTCAACTTTAAAAACCACTCTTCATAACATTCCCATCCATAACTAAAATTGTATTTCCATCCCAATAATAGTAAAGCAGTGGGACACACAGCAAACTGATGTTAGAGATTGCATGCTGACCGTCGGAGAACACAAGATTGTTCCCAGCCTTGGGTTTTGGGCCAGTAAGAAAACAAGGAGTAAAATAGGTTGGAAGGTTGAGTACTTAGTAATTAAAGTATTAGTAAACAACATGCCTGGGTTTCTGAAAAGAATGAAAATAAATGTGTGTTCTTGCACAAACATGCCTTTAAAATAACTTTCTTTTTTAGCAATGCTTTTATAGCTCTTCTATTCACTTCCTTCTTTTAATCTCCTTCATCCATTTTCATAGAATTATATGAAGGCTTTTTGGTGATAATAGCTGCCAGCCTTCCATTCCCAAGCCCCACAGCTGCACTGTTGGTATCTTCAGCAGATTAGATCCCTCACGAAACTGGATGTACTGGTTTTTAAAACACTGACTTTTGCTCTTTTCAAAAAGAGAATGTGGATGTTTGTTGTTCATATTTTAGTAACCTTAAGATCTCTATAAATTTATTTTGGAAATAATTAATCTTATTTTCTTTGAGCTATGTAATGCTTTTGGACATTTTATGCTGAATAGTATTTTCAAAGTAATGAGAGATGCATTGGATCCATAGGTCATTTTCCCACAAGCGGATCTAAGATTGTCTTCCTTGAACTACTAAATAGTAGTGATAAACAGTAAATCGTGATCTGATTCTTTTTCTTGATGCCCGTTATTGGAGAGAGACAAGGTCTTACGTACTCTTTTGACAAGAGACAGCAGAAAGCCTGTGCCTTCCTAAAATCCTACAGAAGCTCTTACCTCAGATTTGGATATTGTATAGACCCATGATGGCCATCAGCTTGCAAATGGATTGTGGTTTATGTGATTTAAGACTGCAAGGATGTTGTTTATAACTGCATCCATTATGTATGAAAATAACTAGAAAATACACTGGGCCAAATCCAAAAGTTGCTTTTGGAGAAAGAAAAGAAAAACTGACACTTTAGGATAACCGGTGTTTTAAAATGGACTTCAGATTTGGCTCAGTCTACATCTAATGATAGCGACTGCCTTTATAAGGGCTTGACTTCCACCTCTTTTTTTTTTTAGCGTTGAAATTATTATTTTTTTTAATTCCTTTAAGCATCTCCTTCCTTTACCTTAATTTTGTTATTCATATTATGTGGGCTTGGTACTTGCCAAGCAAGAGGTGTATATGATGAGCCTCCATGCGTTTCCCTTCCTACGTCATCCCAATCAGCTCAAGCAGAGGTTTGACTTTCACTCTTTTAGGTGAGAAAGTTATGGCAGACTGGGGGTCAGCTAACACACGCTATCTAATCCTGACCCAGCCTCAATTTCTCATTCTAAATTGGACAGAAACCAGGGGACCAAATTATTCAGTCTTACGCGAGCCAAAATCCCAGCGAGGCCAACTAAGCCTTGAAAAAGTGTGGGAGGCTGTGGCACTTTGCTCCTGAGTTGTATCTGTTGTATAAAGGTGTTTCACTAATTAGAAGCAAAGAAATCCAAAGCACAATTGTTTATTTACCCGAGCCTTGATGCAGCCTCTGCGTTCCTCATATTCTGCTGTTTCTGTCAGGGGCTTGTTTTCTGTGGGCTTGTTTTACTGGAATTGTCTTATTTTTTTTCCCTTCTCTTTTTTTTCTTTTTCCTCTCCAGACTGGCAGATAGCTACTCTCGCTTTGCTGTTGGGTGGTGCTGCCATTATTCTCATAGCTTTCCTGGTCGGGTTGATCTCTATCTGCGTGGGATCTCGCCGGCGCTTCTACAGACCAGTTGCGGTCATGCTCTTTGCTGCAGGTAAGCAGATTACTGGCACCAGTACAAAAATTGCATGAGAGCAGCTTCACTTCATTGAAGGAAGACGTGCCTTGTTCTGCATCCTAATTCAGAGACATTTGGTTTACTTCTGTATTAAGTCCAGTGAGGTTTTTCAGGATACTGCTGCTGCACGGCATTAATAATTTTTGCAGTTGCACTATTATTAGTTCATAAACAATCATTTATTGGCATTATATTTATTGTTTTGTGAAGTACATGCAGCGGGGGAAACTACAGAGGATGAATCTCAAAGTACCATTTTTAATCTGTGACTTTGTGCTGCTTGATATCCCCATTTTTACTCTTCGTGCAAAGCCATTTCTGTTATTTCAATGTTCTTCCTTTTACAATTTTAAAACAGGAAAATCAATACCCAAATGTGAACCCTTGAAGCCCTACGCGTGAAATTAAGTAGGATTATGTTGCAAGGTGTTTATATATGCCCTTGTTCCGTAAGGAATTAATTTCATTGTATTCACTGTATTTTGTTGTATTCATTATTTTCATTGCTTTCTTAGTTATTAATATAACAAGGTGTCACAGCGTAGTCCCTGTTTTGGTTTTAGAAATATGGAACAGTTTGTATAAACTATGACAAAACCTTAAGGGAGGCCTATGAATTTGAATTGTCCTTAAGAGTAGTCCAGTGAGGCAGAATTGCAACATCAAATCATCTCCTCTTGTACATTCTGGTGTTCTGGGACTTAGTCCGCACGGATGTTCCCATTTCTCCTGAGATTTACCAAGCATGGTTTGCCTTCATCCTGTCACTCATATCACCTGCATCGGAGCCAGCAGCGTAAGCTCCTTCTGATAGCCCGTAATGAAGAGGATGACAGAACCTCGTCTTCGGGATGTATTTAAAAAAAAAAAGCCACTTACAAGGATATGAAAAGATGAAAGCGCAGAATTTGCGGGGTGCTCAGGATTGAAGCAAGGCTCCAGGGAAGGCCCCTGCTGCCCTCTGCTGTTAACGTTACCTGGGCTGAGCCCCAGCGCTTCCAGATGCACTTTTATTTGCTCAAGAGATACTGGGAGGTTGTATTTCATCTGCTTTTAGGAAATGAATGCAACCTAGGATCAGATTGCCGGAGCGCAAGTCGTATCTTTTTGTTCTGTGTGTCGTGTTGCTTGCTTGGTTGAATGAATGAAGGCACTGGTGCTCTTATTTTAAAATCTAGTGTTAATTCTGAGATGATAAAGCATGCTGGGCAGCTAGCTTCAAAGGAAATGGGGTTATTGAACATCTGTAGTTGTTTCTTATTTGGCTTTTGACTTAATTTCTCATAACATTGTGTAGTAACTTGAGTAATTATTCAGCCATGCACTGCCTATCTTGCCATATTGCTCATGTAGTAGTTAAGTTTGTACTAAAAAAAGGAACAACTTTGCCCATGAAAAAGATTTCCCCCAATCCTGCTCTTTGGCTTAAAGCTTAGTCTGTTCTCCTCTGCATAAAATTTATTTCTAGTCTTTACTACAAAAAGTTGGGGGTAGGGGCATTGAATGTTTACTTGTGTCAAAAAGGGAAATATATTGGTGCCTTAGCTTGTGGGTGGTGTTCACCTCTCTCCTTTGCCTCTGAGTGTGTGTGTGCGCGTACATTTTAAATAGCCATGACCTGAAGCATATCAGGAGAGAGATGCTGAGGCCAAGACAGCCTGCCCCATTCTTCATTATCTGGCAAATCTGAGGATAATCCTTCTGGGATTTGACACTGACATTGTTAGTGTCATTTCCTACAGATTTTATCTTTGATGTCAGCTACTTGTAGAGGTGAATATGGACTGGCATATCTTGAAAGAATTATGGAAAGAGTCCCCTACCGAAGAGGGGAAAGTTAAGATTGCAACCCAGTGGCATTTGTGCCTTATGCAACTATCCATGGATTCAAACCTTCACCTGTGGATTTCACAGAAGATCTTTGAGGATAAACCCTGCCCCGACCTGTGAATCTGCTGACAAGACCAAATACTCTGTAGGACTCTGGTTAGGAGTCTACCGGCTGCTTCTGGAAGAAGGACACAGGATGAATTAATGACAGAGACATTTAATGATCTGTGTGGGTGTCGGGTGGAAAACGTCACTGTGTGGGAGAAAGGACAAAATGGAAAAGTGGTTTCCAGGCACTTTAGAGTCCAAACAGTTGGCTCAGGCATTTTTTTTTTTCTTCTAATTTTGATTTTATTGTTTTTCTTTTTTCTCAGCTTCAGATTCCAGTTAGCAACTCTATAGGTGAGGAAGAAGATTGATTGACTAGGCCTGGAAGAGATGAGGAAAGCGAAGGGACAAAAAACTAATTCAACCTAGGTACTGAGAATAAGTCAGCAAGTGATCAACAGCTGTGAATGTGTTTAAAATACATACTGTCACCTCTGTGTAATGGGGAGAGGAACAGGAATACCTCAGGTAATGGAAAAACGTGGAGCATACAGAGAGGCAGTTGCCGGACACTCTTGCGTGGAGCCACCTTGGCTCGTAGAGCTCTTCCCAGCATTTTTGATCTAGAAGCGGTCACTAGCTTATGTACTTGCTGGGGTGTTGTGAACCAAACTGGCCCTGAAAGCTGCGTCCTCAAAGTACAAGCTCACAAACTTGTCAGCGTAGGAATCTTAGGATATGGTTACCAGATAACTGAGTGCTAACTCAGTCTTAATTTAGGGGTAGAAATAGAAAGAGTAATTGTTGAAAGTCCATAAAAGCAACCAAAAAAGGTAATTTAAAAGATGTTTGCCTTCTGGGGCTATGTTTTAACAATTTTTAGAAAAATAACCTGTTATGGTTAGTAAGCTTTTAACACATTTTGCAAGATACTTTCACATGTAAGCTAGGGAAACAGTGGCTAAGTGAAAGTATTATAGGTGAGAGAGTCAGAAAAAAAGACAGCAGATAATATTTGGAGAATATTTAGAGGATGTATCTTTCTGCTTTGACAGAGTCAAAGCACAATCTGGCTAGATTGCGCCCTGAGTTCTGTGCTATTACCTATTTTCATAATGATGTGGAAGACAGAATAAAAGTCTACTTGTCAAATTTTACAGTGAAGCTGGGAAAAATTGCAGATACGTTGGAGAACAGAATTTGATTTTGAGAAATTGATGGAATGGTCTGAAAAAGTAGGACTGACTTCAGTAGGACGTAGTGCAAGTTGCTACAGGGCGGCAAGAAGAGTCACATCATCAAAGAAATATTTATAGGAAAGATACTCTGTAGGTCATGTAGTCCAGCTTTCTTGTTGAGGCAGGACAATGGACAATGTAGTCCATAGTGTTCCAGGGATTGAGTTGAGGCTGACCAGCCTATAATCCTGTGGATTTTTCACTTCTGACCTTTTTAAAGATGGACACAACATTAACCTTTTCCCAGTCATCTGAATATCTCCCGATCACTGCGATTTTTCGTAGATGGTAGAGGGTTCATGATCACATTGGCCAGCTCTTTCATCACCCTTGGGTCAATCCCATCTGTCCCCATAGACATAGATGCAACTCTGAATCATCCCTAACTTGTCCCTGCACTGCTGATGCCCTCCCAAACCATGTCACTTAGAGGTCTTGGAGAAGGCATCATGGTGCATCATCTGTTGTTAGACTGGCTTTCCTGTCCATCATTGTATATTTTCTGAACTTCATTTTGCAACTAATGCACCTGTGGAAATTGTTCTTTATTACCCTTTTTGCCATTTCCTAGCTTAACATTGGGCCCCAGCTGGGCTTCAGCCTTCCTGATTTTATATCTAACTATGAAAACAGTGCTTTTATACTCCTGTCATTGTCTAGCCTGGTTTCCTGCTCACGTGTACCCCTTTCTTGCACGTTCTTCAAGAAACTCCCTGTTTGGCCAAAGGGGCCTCCTGAAAAAAAATCCTAGTCTTCCTGTGTAGCAGGGTGGCCTGTTCTTTAGCTAGCAATATTTTAAAATTCAGCATGAACCCCCTCTTTCTTCATGCTGCTTCCCAGTTAATTGCACAGGTTGTGTTAAGTACAAATGACTTCCTAGAGAGCAGTTGCATGTGTGTTAATCTTTGAAACTGCAACACCCATGGGTTATTAATGAAGTGCTTTACTCATGTGAATGAGCAGGAGGAACGGTGTAGAGAAGAGAAATACAGAATTTACTGGTCAGCACTACCATTTTCATAAATATAGACCAATTAGAAAGCTACACCATAATTTTTTTTGACAACAAAACTGTTACAGTCAAACATTTCCATGAGGAAAAAAAAAGTTGAATGAAATTGTATTTTCCTAGTTTTAAAGCATTTGTTGTGATTTCTGCGTGTTTAATATGGTGAGTACAAATAATTGCATGTATTTCATGTAAATGAAATAAAATTAGTATTCCTGTTCTGTGCAATTGTCTTGCAAGCGTCATGGCGCTAGTCATAAAATGGGTCTATGCTTGAAGTGAATAGTGTAGTTTGAGATGACTAGTCTGTTTTGGGTAGCAATTTGAAGTGTTTTTTTTTCTTTTTTTCTTTTTTTAAGGTTTCTTTTGCAGCCTGTTTTTTCTACAGGAAAAGTCTAGTGCTTCTGAAGAGAAGTAGTACACGCACTTCCCATAAGCAGGTCAACATAGCATGGAGTTGCTTTAAATTCATCGGAAGCAGATCAGCAGTTACAAGCATTGGTTTTAACATCTTTTTTGGATCATGCTGGTCATTTTTCATAACTTCAGTGTTGTTTCTAGCCCACACAGGTCCCTTCCCACTCTGCAGGGAGAAACAAAGATGAATGGAAAAAATAGTGCCAAGTGATGACAGTGGTACACGGTGTGGCTGTTTCCACGGGCCAGTTGCTGCCAGGACTTAACCTTTGAGTTTTACAATAGTGTAGCCACACCAGGAGTAGCAAAAGCAGGAACCCTCACTATAAAAATGTCTAAAATACCTGTTGTGGATGTTGCTGCTTTAGCAACGTGTTCGTCTTCCAAAAGAATCATTTTTTTGGTTTTGTTTTGACAAGTCCAATCTGTAGACTAAAATTCAGTGTCCTTCATATGTTAGATTGAGGGCAGGTGGAGAGCTTCCTTGGTTGGCACTTGACACAGACACACAGAGCAGTTTCTGTATTGACTCAGCAGAGATGCTGCATCCTCAGTCCAGGAAGCCACTAAAAAACTTGCTTATTTCCATTCATCTTAGGAAATCCTTTATGACTTTGAATGGTCTTAAAGATGTGTCTGAAAGCTGAACATGTGTTCAGGTGTTTTGGGGTGTAATGATGCTCTCATAAAGAATTGGAACCCGTAATCTTTTCATAAGAGTAGGTGTACCCTGTCAAAATTTCTCCTGCATTGCACAGTGTTTTGGGAGCTGGCAGACAAAAATTATATTAAAATGGAATAACACAAAGTAACACTTCAATAACTTTAGGATTAAAAAAATCCTGTGGATTTTGGTATCCACATCAGAAAATCCACTATCCAAACATTATTCAGATTGTCAGTCTCAAGTAAGAGTCCAAAGACTAGTCTGTAGGCTAAGCGGAGGGGGGATGCGGGGAAGAAATTTCCAAGGAGTGTTTTATAAAGTGTTATCACTGAGCGTGTAATGAACATTGGAAATCATCTCCCCATACCAGTCCTATCCAGAGGACAGGTGAGCATTAGTCTCCAGGGGTAATAAAGGGTGCCAGTTTGACAGCACTAAAGAGTGCGTGGAGGAATGAAAAGGCACGTGACAGATTTTGAGCGTACAAAGTGTTAAAGCAGTGGGAGAATATAATTACTGTTATTTTATTTTCGTGTAATTTCAGAAGGGCTTCTGTAGTCCAAAGTACTCTTCCTCTCTGTTACCCACTGGCAATTTACATTGGTGTGGGCTTTGTAACGATTCTCTAAATCATGTTTGTTCTTACAATACCTAATAAACTGTACAAAATGCCCCAGTCAGTGTTAAGGAAAGTAGTTGTTATGGCATGGCATTGCATACCATTGAACTCCCATCAGAGCATGTCTCTGCAAATACTTAAGCACGTACTTAACGGTGTGGATGTGCCCACCCTGCCTGCAGTCGGGGGGCTGGGGGGGTCTGCAGAGGCCGTCTCGTGCTGAAGTCATTAAAAATTGCTAGTGCTAAATGCTGGAAGGGAGCGTTGCGATAAGGCCTTATCATATTTGAGGGGCAAAAGATGTTTTGTACATTCCTGTGATGTTTAGTCTTTTGTGGGTGGCAGGACTAGAGGCCTGAAGAATCACTACATCATACAGCTTGTTCTTTTCAGACCAAGTGTGATTTTCACCTACTTGCCTTGGAAACGGTTATCCCAATTTTTGTTAACAGTGTGCCTGAATTTGAAAGAGAACGGATGCCGGTGAAACTGAAGTCTTCTTGTGAAAATTGGGGTTCTTCATCTGTGTATTTTTCTTTTCAGGTTGCTGTATGTGGGGGTTTTTGACGTAGCACAATAATTAGGTTTGCTGAATTCCACTGCAGACGTGTGGATCGGGCTGCAGGAGATCTGGCACTCTCAGACAGTGCTGTAGAAAGTAATGATTTTTTAAGCTTTTTACTGCCTTGGATTTGATCTGATTTATTAGCTTTTTTCATCATGAAGCATTTTTGACCCACCTCCTAAATTTGTAATACAAGGCAATGTTTTGCCAGTTGGAATTTTAGTGACTGATCAAACTTTATAGATTCCTTGGTATTCTGTGTAACAATACCATTAATTCTGATTACAGTACACAGTAATGCATATGAAATACGTAATTCAGTGAGTCTCCACTGAACATAAATATGTATCACCTACTACAATGAATTATGTCTAGGCTAAGTAAATGATTTGATTCTGAGCTATATTTCTTAATATTCGTTTATTCTTGCTTCTCATTTTGACTTATTTATAATAGCTATAGAACAAGCGATCTTAGTTTTGTTATTATGGAAGAAGTAATGACTGCAAGCTAAAATACAAGGGAGAGAGAGAAAGGAATTGGAAAAAGATTGCTTTCACTGTTTACTTCGTGGACATCTGAAGGATCATCGTTACACCATGGCAATAACATTTGTTCATCAACGAGGGACTATGGAGGAGCTGCTCTGTTCTCTGTGAATGAAATGAAGGTGGTATTTTTTCCAAAAGAGCAGTACTTGAAACCTAAAAATGCACCAAGAACATTTTAAATGTGAATTTCGCTTATGTGATGTTTTCCTTGTTTTATGGAAATTAATTAAGGCTTCTTCTGATACTGGTTGTTTTTTTTTCTCTTTCAGTCGTTCTTCAGGTGTGCAGCTTAGTCCTTTACCCAATCAAGTTCATCGAAACGGTCAGCTTGAAAATATACCATGAGTTCAACTGGGGCTATGGCCTGGCTTGGGGTGCAACTATATTTTCGTTTGGGGGTGCCATTCTTTATTGCCTGAACCCTAAGAACTATGAAGACTATTACTAGAATCATTTAATGAAAAGAAAAATAACAAAAGGATTACCCCATCTTTTCTAACTCACAGTTTTTTTAGAACACTTGTGGAGCACCAAACAGTCTGCTCTGTTGATAAAATAGCCTTTGCCTTTTGGGTGTGAACACTATAACCAGCTTTTACAACCATTTAAAAGAACTGCAAACACTAAGATTGCTGATCTTACATAGGCAGATGCTGCAAGCTGCTGATACATAAGCTTCATTTTTCCTGACAACAAGCAAAAGGATCTACGTGACAGCGATCATTGTGAGAAAACTAGTTGGAATGAGAATGCAATTCCAGCATCTGCTATTGCCTTCAGGGGGGCAGCTGGTAGAGGCTCCATTTAGAAGTTTCCCTGTATCATAGAGGATTCAGATGTCTGATAAGCAGGCAATGGCATTTTTTACAATAGGCTGTGTTGGCCCCTTGTTACTTGCTCAAAAAAAGCTCTTAAGGAATTAGTTGCAAGTGACTGTGTTGAGGCAGTGAATGTAACTGGTTAATGACTTGTCTAATATCTGCATTCAACAGTATTCTGGGAGAACAATAAAAAATAAAAAAGCCACCAACCACACAGGATTTCATGAATCAGTAATCGACATCACCGTGCCAGCTGTAGCAGATTGTTGAAGGAAGTCCAAAGGCAGAGACATGTGCTTCTGACTGTGTAGCTGGAAGCTGTCTCAGCTCTTGAGTATTTTGCTGGGAGGGTGGAGATAAGGGGGAGTAGGAAAAGACCTCATCCGTCCCTGAGGCATCTAAAATGTATGAATGAATTGCAGTTGCCCTAAGTACCCATTTAACTTCTGAACGTTGTCATGAAAAGAATGCATATGGAACAAGTTCAGTTATATTTTTGAAAGGTATTTGTTAGTATAAATGCATATATATAATACAAATATAAATGCAGAGGGAGACAATTTGTCTTAAAATTGTAATATGAGCTGTGATGCAGTGGTTAAAATACTAACTTTGTACACATTCTTGAAAGTCTTGGATTGGTACCCCCAATTTTGGTTGGTGTTACAAAATAAACATAAAGTGGTTTGTCTTCTGTATATGCCCTTGTACAGACTCTGTGTTATGGGAAGTGCTTAAAAGTTCACATCACATTACGGTAGAACTGGGCAAAATAACTACTTGCTATTCCATGTATAATCTAGTACTTAACTAAAAATTGTTTTCTAAGGCTGTTGCAAAGAAAAAATTGCCATTTTTTTAAAAATCTAGTTAGGTTGTGAGTGTCTCTGATCATCAAGAATAGAGCTGAGACCCCATCATGTCCATATTAAAACATGAGCACTTCAGGAGGTAATCTCTTGTTTTTAAAAGCTGAGTTTATAATGGACTGGCTGATTATGTACATCTAATTACTCCTTGCTTAGTGTGTTTCCCACTTAAAACATCCAGAGACTGTACTCATGAAATGAAACCCAAGATAAAATAGAACTTTGACATGAATTTAATCCGCATCACTTTTATTTTTGTTTAAGATTTGCTTATTTGGATATTTTCAATTAATTATGAACATATTTTTATATAATTCTACTCTTTAGAAATAACTATTTTTTTTAACGGAGAAATTTAAAATATATTCTGTGTGGACCTCTGCAAAAGCAGATATGCTGGGGTTGCACATCCATCTCTACACAAATGGTTTTGCTGGTTCCACGGAAAAGGCTGCTGAATGACTCGATGTTAAGACCGCATCTACAGTGTTAATGCCTGTGCCACCATTTGCTGGGCGCAGAGGTTCTGCGATGAGCGTGGGACCACAGGGCTGCCTTTAGGAGGTTGTTGTGAAAGTATTGCTGACGTACGGAGATGGTTTATAAAACTCTGGGGCTCTCTGAAGTTAAATCTTTACTGCCATGGCAGAATATTCTTTATCAGCAGTCTTTCCAGGACCAGTGGCTATTAATTAGATTAGATGGAGCAAAATGATAGCTTGACTTGGAAGGGATTATATGGCAATGCCTGGAGAAGAAAAAGGATGGGAGGAAAAATTACGTCCACTTGTTTCGCAGGCACCAGAGAGCATTTGCAACTCTGCTTTTTTTCCTGAGACTGACTTGAGGCGGATATTCAGTATATACTTAACTCTGTATCTTTCTGAACAGCTGTGTAGTTCTGCTTTTATTTAGCAGCATGGAGAACATTGTAGTTTGGCATGGGAATTAAGTTAACGTAGAGAAGCCCACTGTGAGATGTCTGTACCTTCCTAGGAGGACGGTGCTTTGGTGCTGACATTGTGTGGCACTTCGCAGTGCTGAACCCCTATCATATCCACTAATTTATCAAATTGTTTTCCTTTATGTAGAGTTTGAGTGAAAACAACTGTCAGGCGTAAGGCATATGCAAATTAATGGCATGCGCTCTGAAAGTCACCCGGCTGTTAATATGAAACGTGCTCGGGCAAAAAATTTACAAACGTGAATGCCTAAGGACAAGGTTCTTCATTCATATTTGAGTCAGAGATCTGATTTTCAGTCTCAACACCTGGTTTTCCTCTTGAAAATAATGCAATCTGTTAGGACCCACCTCTCAAACTCCTCAGGTCCTTTGCGTTTGGGCATCTAGTGTACAGGTTTAGGTACCTACCTTTAGCTTAGGTTGCTACTGCCCTTTCTTTTTTTCCCCCTTACCATTGCCAGTTTTGGCAAGCATTCTGTTTCTCAGCACTGAACTAAGTACAACATTATGCTGAGTTATTTTTTTTCTGGCCACAAAAAGGATACATATCTGTGTCTTGAGTGTACGTATGACAAATTAATCATTTTGTATGTTGTGCTTCTGTCATGCCACCATTATTTCAGTCGTTTGGCTTTATCTCACTTGGCAGGATGATTCTCTCACGCAACAGATCCATTGTTTTTCTTCCAAATATATATGAGTAAATATATATATAGCAAACTTGCAAGCAGGGCTAGTTATTTGTATTTTTTAAGCTTAAAGTATACCATCCGGTGCTGACAAGTACCTAGCACCTCTTCTGGATTTCTTGCACAACTTTGTTTAGCTTTTGTAAATTTTAAAAACAAATATAGAGAGACCTATGTGTTTGAAATATAAATGATATATATGGATTAGCATGTAACTGTATATTATTAAACATGCAATGAATTGACTGGTAAGTGAAGTCTAATCTTATGGCTAGCAATGTAATTTATTCAGACTGTATTTTTGTACAGAGCAGTGCACACTAACCTATTGCCTCTGTGTCCTCTATAATGCCTAAAACTGTGCCTAGAAATTTCATTTCTGTCTTTAAAGGAAAAAAAAAAAAAAAAGACAACTAAATGCTTCATGTTGTTGATGGTATTGGTTTTTCTGATGTTGTTCTTTATTTATTTTTGAGAAGTGTATGGTATGTTTATTAAATGAATCCATCAAAATATCGTTCGTTTTAAATGGTCATTGTTAGCAGGGAAAGACACCTTTTTTTTTTTTTTATCAAAACTTTTAAGTTTGCAGTTTTAATACCATTTCTGCATTTCACAATTTTTGTAGCTTACATAAAGTTCTATGTGAAAAAGTAACTGAAATAAAAAAAATTGTTACACTAACCAAACGTGCCTGGTTTGCTCTGAGTAGAACATGGACGCAGCTGAAATGGCGTGGTTTCCCCTTGTGCAGGCTGAGCAGGAGCAGTCTCCTTAGGCTCATGAATATGGCTGGTATTCGGTCACCGTGCTAAAGGAGTCGTACCAAAATACATGGGGGGAAGAGGGAGAGATGCAGGATCTTGTCGCCGTAACCCCTTCATCCCACCTGGCCGTAGAACAAGCAGCACAGGGAAGGTGTCTGGGTGTCACAGAACCCATACTGCGTTTATAAAAATACAAGTATTGTAACATCGGAAAATCAAATTGCTTTTAATGTAGTAAATAACAAGGCTGTGTGTTGAAATGGGAATCTATACTGAGCACCTTGTTCCAGTGGGGGAATTTATTCATGATATACAGGTTTCTTTTTCACATTTCCAATAACCAATACTTTTTTGCATTTTGGGTCTGAAAGTTGGTTTACTTTTCACCCTAAAAAACCCACAGATACTGTTTTTGAACCTGGAACGTGGTATTGCAAAAATGGAAAAGCATGTTTAAACACTGAAGAGGTGATACTGTGGTGTTTCTACTGTTTGGGAATGTACTGTCATCCTGTGCATCGCTGGGTACCTCTTGTGCGAGCATCTCCTGTGGGCAGCGGCGTGAAGAAGAGGCTGCCAGCAGAAAGCGATGGCAGAACGGAGGGCAGAAGCCTTGGCTTCAGTGGGCTATTGCAAGGAGGGGGTACAGGCGTGAGGGGGGGTGCACCGAGTGGGAATCAAGTCATTGAAAAGGAATTGAGAGCAGGGAGCGAGTAAGATATCATACTACTGAACTATAAGATTTGATACATAAACAAATGCCTATGTTAGGCCTGCCACTGCAAGGGAATCTCTAGATGCACACAGCTAGACAGCAGGTGTTCATGGCGGACAGGAGCCAGGCGCATGTCATTGCTGACAATGCGTTCACCTTGGTGGAAGCAGCATACCCTAGGACAGATGAATGATGACTTCTGTGTTTCTGAGTTGGGTTCGGTTCCTGGCTGCATTTCAGATCCTCTGCCTTGCAGCCTCCGACCCCTCAGAGGAAGGTCGTAATTCGGCACCTGTCTGTCAAAGATGCTGAAGAGTGATATTCCTGAAACACCTGAAGTGTGAGTGTTGGGACAGGCAGCGGAAGAGTTTTGTGTATCTGATCGTGGTTACTGTAGTGGTCGCATGTCTCTTGTGTCACCCTGAAGAGGTTGTACAACAGGGCAGCAGGGAGAGGAGATGTCTCTTTACCTGTTGCACACCAGATGGGATCTAATCCTGTTCTGAAAGGAGACTGCCCTTCCCTGGGGTCAACCAGGCATGCTTGACATGGGTAAGGTTTTGGAGTTCAGGGTAAAATGAACAAAGAGAGAGCAAGAGCACAAATTAGCGGTAAACAGGGAGCCCGTTGTCCCACGTCAAGGTGAGAGACACCTGGGAGAAGTACGTGACCTTCCCGCCTGCAGAAGGAACAGATCCGGAGCCAAGCTTCAAGGGTGACAAATACAAGAAGACTCCCAAAAGATCTGTAGAATTAGTTTCAATTCCCTGAGAGGTGCTGGGCTGCAAAGCAGGTTTGGAGGCTTTTGTCAGCTCAAACCCTGAATGCATGCCCACAGAATGTAAACTTCTTGCCATGCTTTTGCCCTTGTAGGTCCCTTTGGTCACCACGTACCTCTGAGCATCTCTGTGCACCATAACTAAAACCCTGACCTGAAGGGAGATGTGGTCCACTGTGCCATGAAACTTAAGCTGGGCAGGACATGGTGGGATTTGGGCTGGTCCTCAGTCCTGCCACTGTTCAAGATTAGTTGCAGACGGCTACGTCTCTCAGTGAATATGAAAGTAGCTGTAAC